AGAGCATCAGTAAAAATGAGGGAAATCCTCCATGAGATGGACTGACACAATAACCACAACACTGGACTCAAACATACCAACAATCATGAAAATGGCACAGGACAAGGCAACATTTTGTTCTGTTACGCATAAGATCGTCATGAGTCGGAAACGACTCCACAGAAACTAACAACAACAATAACAACATATATGTATGTATCTATAAAGAATATATAGCATAATTTTCCATATAACTTCCTATAAATGTCATATACACGTTATCATACTCAACGTGTCAAACCTGTTACAAAAAAATCATGCCCGTTGCCGCAGAGTCGATTCCAACTCACGGTACTGCCCCACAGGGTTTCCAAGGCTGTAATGTTTACAGAAGCAGACTGCCACATCTTTCTCCTGTGGAGTGAGGACCTGCCGACCTTTCCGTTAACAGCTGATGGCTTAACCACTGCACCACCAGGGCAAATATCCATGTTGATACATATTTTAATTGTTGTTTGGTATTTCATAGAACGAACATGCCACAATTTACTTATCAAATTGCCTGTTATTTTTTTTTAAAAAAATTCGAGTAGCTTCTAATTTTGTTCTACTACAAACAATGCAGCAATAAACATTCATTTTCATGGGATATATATTTCACATATTTCTCTGGGATACTACTTAGTAGTGGAATTTTGGGTTTGTAAGTAATATTCGTTTTCAATTTTGCTAGATAATGTAGTTTGATAAATGTATACCCCCACCAATACTGAATGAAAGTGCTTAGTTTCTGATACACTCTCAACACTATGTATTATCAATTTTTTTAGGTTTTTATTTTTCACTAATTTGATGGATAAAAATGATATCTTACTGTGTGGTAATTTACATTTTCATACTTAGATGTTTATTGGTTTTCATTTTGACCAACTCAAACTCAGTTCATTTCTTTTTTATAGAACTCTTTTGAGGACCCCTAAAAGTAGCCAGTACACTCTCACACTCTGAATTTTTCTAACTTGGGTCCTCTGCTGCAGTCTTAGTAGGCATAGGTTCTGAGCCTGATATATAAGAAGTTCGGCTTAAGTAACTACTTTAGCCTTCTGCTCAATCTTCATACAGTGAACTTTAAGGTCTGTTACATGCAACAACTTGGTACCAATTTCTGTAGAGATATGCTTTTTTATACCTATTTCTGCAGCGATCTCTCTCTTTTTTTTAAAAAATAAATAAAAAAAAACCTCAACCCAAAACTGACTTAAAAATCGGGAGGGAGTTGACTCATGTGTCAGGAAAGTTCAGGGATATCATTGACTTTAGGCCTTGGTGCAAAAACTCAAAAAAATGACAACGGGAGACAAAAAGAAATAAAAGGAGGAGATAAGAGACAAATAGCAGAAGAGGAAGCAAGGATGAGTAGGTAATATAATACTTCATTCATTCATTCAACATTCTACTCTGTGAAGCAGACCATGGGTTCTGGAGTTTCAGAGATGAACCAGATCCTTATGATGGGACCCTCAAGAAGTTCACAGTCCAGCAGGTAGAATAGAGAGCTCCCACCCAGTTTAAGTGCTTTGGCAGAGGCAGCATGGAGCCATGCAAAGAAATGAAGGGGAAGAAAAGACTAATTCCACTTGGAGTTATCTAAGAAGTATTCTTGGATAAAGGAGCACCCAGACCAGATCTTTTAGGGGAGGTTTACAGGCAGATCTAGGGGGACAAGGGTAGGGGAACAAAGGAACTCTGGGTAGAGGAACAGCTTGAGCAAAGGTGTGGCATTGTCAGAAGGCAGAGCATGGTTGAGGGATAGTGAGTCGCCCATTGTGGCTGGTGCCTGAGAGGCTGGCAGGGCTCAGTTGTGGATGTTATTGAACAACAGGCTAGGGAGCTTGAATTTAGACCTGTAAACCAAGGGGGCCCATGGAGGCTGTAGACATGGCCAGCTTTATGCCCTGAAATATGACCTTAATCTAGCCGTACTTGAGAGACCAAAATGAATATGACCTAGTCCCCTGCCCTGAGAGAAGCTCCAGGGTGAGAGAGACCCAGACACATGTTATAACAACACATTATGTAATTAGTGTTGGTATAGAGGGGTTTGTAGGAGGGTTTGGTGCGGGAGCTCAAAGAAGCACATTCCTCCTGATGGGACAGGGGTATGCAAAAAAGAATGGACTGGAGTCTGTGAGAATGGACTGGAGTTGAGCAAATGGAAGGCAGGGGCATCAGGGCAGAGACCTACCTGACACTGTCCTATGTTCCCCTACACGCAAGAGAGGCTCCTCAGAGCCTGCAGTCCTCCACATAAGGTATTCCTTTTCTCCATCTCTTTTGCCAATCTGCTACTCCTTCCCCAGGACCCAGCTCAAATACCTCCTATCTGGAAAGCATTTGCTGCCTTCCAGTTGGTGATTCTCTCCTGTGAGCCCTCTTAGCACCCTGTTGTAGAATTTCCAGGTGACAAGAGGTACTCTTATGCATCCCCAGCCGGACCAAGAACTCTCCAAGGGCAGGGCGAGAGTCTCATCCATTTCTGCTTTCCCAATGCCTAGCATGGCACATGGAAAACTCTTGAGGAACTCTTCACAAGTGAATTATAGAAAGAGAAAGTAGATGAATGGAAATAAAAAAAGGGGAGAAAGAGAGGAGAAGACTTGGAGAGGGGGGACAGGAGGGAGGCAGATAGACATGGTGTCAGCATGGGTGAGAGAAAAGAGAGTGAGAGAGTGGAGAAAATGTGGAATTCTTTTCTCTTCCCATCAGTAGAGCCAAGCATTGAACTGGGCACAATGAGGTTCAGGCTTTGGAATCAAAACCTGGGTTCATATCCTAGTTCTGTGACTTACTGGCCTTTTTGGGTGAGGCACTTTTTGGACAAAGTCCTTCACCTCCTTTGACCTTAATGCTCAACTATGTAATAGTGATAATTCTAGTTCTTCCTTCATGAGTGTTTTAAAATTTAAGAATGGATTAGAGTGTTTTGAGGACAGCCATTCTATCTTGTCTTTGCCCAGCTCCCGGCAAGGGCCTTAGCACAGTTGCGTGCTGAAGAAATAATCAATTATTGAGTAGATTAATGAATACTGGAGGAGAATTTTTTTCTGCACTGGGTTGTAGAGTTCTATTTCACAAGAGATAGACCAAGTACTTGCTTAGCGTACCAGTAAAGGAGGAAACACAGCTCCAATAAATTTTTCAAATAATTTGATATTTTTTAAAAAGCATCTATGTAGTCATCATGTGATAAATAACATACTTGGTTAGACTTTCTTACATTTACTCTTTTTATTTTGAATTATATATGATGTGGGGCACCTTAATCTAGTCATACTTGAGAGACCAAAATAAATATGACCTAGTCCCCTTCCCTGAGAAAAGCTCTGGGGTGAGAGAGACTCAGACACACGCTATAACAACACACTATATAATCAGTGTTGGGACAGAAGGGTCTGTAGGAGGGTTTGTGTGGGAGCTCAAAGAAGCACATTCCTTCTGAGGGGACAGGGGTACACAAATAGGAATGGGATACAGGGTGGGGAAAAGAGAAATCAAATGAGCAATAAGAGAGAGCGACTGAGCTAAGGGGAGAGTAAGCAGAAAAAGAAGCTACATTGAGAAAAATGGAAAGTTGGAAGTAGGGAGGGGGGAGTGGCAGGCATGCAAAGACAGAGTCCCGTTTTGGAGGCGGAAAGTGGCAGGACCCCTTACGGCCAGGACTGGTGGTGGGGGGCAGGCTTAGACCTAAGGAGAGGCTGGAAGAGAGCGAACTCTGTCTGCACCCTTAAAGTGGATGAGGTAAGCTGAAGTACTCAGTTTTAGTGAATACCCTGAGGGGGCCTCCGGGCTGCGGCTTCGACTTGACTGACTCCACAGACCCTTAAGATTTAAAGAAAACCTGAGAGAGGTTCAGGACCTAACAGCATCAAAGTGGTTGGCTTTAGAGGTGGTTGGACCTGGTTCGCGCGGGAGAAAGGAGGCGGCAGAGTTCCCTTTGGGCCACAGAAAGGAGAGATCTGGGCTTAATTTGGGCCTCAGGAAGTAGGGATAGGGACGTGGTTGGGACTGCAGAAAGGAGGGATTGAGAAATCACTCAGGTGGTATAAAGAAAGGAGCAGAATCCAGTTTAGGAGGGAGATAGGAGACTGCAGGACCCCGTTCAGGTTGGAAAAGGGGGCAGGACCCAGTTCGGGCCAAAGAAAGTAGGGATCGGGACACGGAAAAAGGAATCCCTTTTGAATGGCTGAAAGAACTCAGCTCAAGCGGGAGAAAGGAGGGCTAGGATACGGTTTCTGGTCTGAAAAGGGAAAGGCCAGAGCCTGGTAGGCTTCGCGAACAAGGAGTACACAGAAGGCTTAATACTGTTTGTTTTGGGAGTGGGGTATCCATGTTGCAGAAGGGGTAGGACCGTGAGACACTTACAGACGTGGAAGGGCGGGAGCGGTGTTGGGGAAGCGCTGGTGAGGAGACGTACTGCAGAGCGGAGGGAGGGGGTGTATAGGAAGGGGCGGTGCTTGGCTCTACCGCGGTGTTGGGGAAGAGGCGTTGCAAGGAGGTACTGCAGAGCTGAGAGAAGGAGCCAGTGTTGGGGGAAAAGTTGCATCGAGAGAGACGTGATGCATTTAGGAGTGGGCCGGGGTGTGGCCGAGGTGTTCTGTTGTTCTGATAGCGGGAGGTGTGTGTTTGGGAATGAACCGGTAAGAGATTGTCTGGTTCACCAAACTGCCTGTGTGCTGAGGGCCTTGAAGAAAGGCTTCCGTTGGGAAAGTGGATGAGTCTGAGATGGGAGGCTCTGGTTGGTGCGCATGCGTACTATCAAGTTGCAGTAGGGGACGTGCGTTTGTGGGTTCTTGGAAAAAGGAGCTAGTGCTTGGAAATCAGATGACCTGGGTTCTTAGGTATGGGAACCCAGATGTTGAAGGGTTTGGGGACCAAAGTTAGGTGAGATCTCCTCCCCCTCATTCTCCCCTAACACAGGTCCCTTCCCCTCAGGCTCAGCTGTTACCCAACCTCCCAGAAGGATGGATAGGAGAAATGACTACGGTTATAGAATGTCCCTGTTCCAGGTGAGCCCCTTCTTGACTCTTACTAGGCAGTTTGCCCTTTCCTAAGTTCAGCTACTGCTCTTGGGCCCCCTACCACCCTGCACCTGCTCAGCCTGTCTCAGCCCTCCCCTGCGTGGTGGAGGGGGAGAAGAAAACCTGCCTGACTCTATCCCCTGCTCCCTTCCCCCACTCCCTTTCTACATCGGCTATTACTCAGAGGAAGATTCAGTCTTTGTGGACAGGGTGGGCTGTAGGAAGGTCAGATGGTCCAGAGGATCATAATCTTAAATGTATAGGGCCCTCTGACTCCCTCTGGGAGTCTGGGGCTTCCTTTTTCTCCAGACGTACGGGCTGAGGCCACAGAAGAGGACAGTATCTTGCTGATGCATACCCTGTTGTCAGTAACCAAGGACCCTCTGACCATAGACCCACCAGTTGCCAACAGGCCTAAGAAAAGCAAGACAAAGAAGGTCTCTATCAAGGCTTTTACTGAGGCCATACCTACTGTCCCTCTGGTCTCACCTGCCAATGAGATTGCTACCAACAAGTCCAAAGTAACTTTGCAGGCCTTAAACCTGCCAATCATCCCCCATATCACCCAGGCTTCAGTTACCACTGAGGCAGCCAATACTTAGGCTTCTTCAGCCACTGCTCAGCCTAAAAAAGCCAACAAGACAAAGAGAATTACTACTAAAGCAACCCAATCCTCCCAATCCCCAACTGGCAGTGAGGGTGTTATTACACAGATCAAGATACCCTTGCAGGCCCTAAACCTACCAGCCATCCCTCAGACTATCCAGGCTCCAATTGCCAATGAGTTAGCCAATTCCCAGGACTTGATAGCTTCCACCAAACCTAAGAAAGCTTCCAAGGCTAAGGAGGCTGTTGATAAGGCCACAGCTAGTGCCAGCAAGATCTTACCAGCTCCAACTGCCACCCACACAGCTACCCCCCAAGGCCAAACTATGAGACAGCCTATACCCTGGCTGCAACAACCTCTACCCAAACCAAGAAAGCCTCCAAAGCCAAGAAGGCAGCTGCTAAGTCCATAAATACTGACACTGAGCTCTTAGAGGCTCCAAATTGCTACTGAGGCAGTTACCAGGCAGATTGAGGCCTCAGAAGAAGCTATCTGGCCCAAAAAATCCAAGAGCAGGAAGGCTTCCAATAAGGACCCAAATTCTGCTTCTGAGGACTCTGAGGTCCCAGCTACCTCTCTAATGATCACCAACCAAGCCCTAGCAACCACCCTCTGAGGCAAGAGAGGTTCCAGGGCTTGGAAGGTTGCTGCTAAAGCCCAGGCAGCTGAAAGCCAGATGCAAATTGCTGACCAAAAGGCCCAGACCAACATCAGTGCCCTTAAAACCCAGGTTGCTACTGCTGTCCAAGCCCTGGCAAATGACCACCTGGCTCAGTTGAGTCTGGTGCCCACAACCAGGACCCAGGGCAAGAGGAACCAAAAGGTGAGATCTCTGACATCACCATCTTTGACTTTGTGCCTCTCTTTTTCCATTCCTCTACTCCTGGTTTGTTCATTTCTTCTATAAAAGTTTACTGAGCATTTTTACTTTGAACCAGATCCTGTGTTCAGATAGGCTATAGGAGATGCTGAGAAGAATGTGATATAGTTTCTGTCCTCTGGCAGTTCACAGACTGGTGGGGAAATAAGACATTCATACACTTAGCTACTACCTGGATGTAATTCACCTTGTATTTACATAGTAGCTACCACATACCAGGCTTTGTGTTGGGCACATTCATACAGGTTATGTGTTTATATCTTGAAAGTAATGCTTACCAACTAGGGATCATAATCCTGGTTTTACAGATAAGGAAACTGAATCCCAGAGAGGTGAACTGACTTGTCCAAGGGGTATAGCTAGCACATAGTAGAGTCAGTAGTGGACAAAGGAAGAGGAGGAGCCTCAGGCCCTGCCCTTGGGTTGCTCCTGGCCTGGAGGGGCAATGAAACTCCTGCCTAGAAGACAGTGAAAGACAGGTCTAGGACTCAGGGTGACCAATGGCTGGTCAGGCCCCACTACAGGGGAGGGTTTAAGGGGGCTTTCTACAAGAGGCAGGGTGAAGAGACAAAGTCATCTCTTTCACCTGGTGACTCTGGGCATTCCTTCTTTCTGATGATGCAGTTCAAGCATCTGAATGGGGATAAGAGAGGTGGCAATAATTACAGAGGATCACATGGGGCCAGAGGCCTCCTCCACCCCAAGATGTGGCCATTTTGCAAGAAAGGGTAAGAATCCAGTGCAGCCCAGTCTTTTCTTCCTTGCCTACCCTCTTCTCTGCCATCCTTTCAAGTTTTCTACAAACATACCAAGATCTCCACATCTATTCCTCCTCTACCAGGCAAATAAGTTCGTGAAATATCTGCTGGTTAAGGACCAGGCAAAGATCCCCATCAAGCGCCAGGTAGAGTCCTGCAAACCCTCCTCCCTGAGCTTTGCTCTCCACTCCACTCCTCTCCCGCATGACCTGGGATGTAACCCTTTACCTTTATGGCCTCATTCTCTCATACCTCCACCCCTACCTGCCTCACACTATGCCATGGCTATTAACACAGTTCAGGACTCTGGCTGCACTGACCCCACAAGACTGGCAAAAAGGCTGCAACTCTGTGTCCCCTGCTCAGCCCAGCTGCTCCTACCTCTCCCTTCCTGCAGACATACTGAAGGATGTCATCTGAGAATATGATGAGTATTTTCCAGAGATCATTGAACGAGCAAGTTACACTCTGGAGAAGGTAAAGGGGCAGCCCTGGGGTGTGGGCACAGTGGGGAGGCCTTGAATTAACAAAGGTACACATGTCCTTTCTGGGAGGGACCACAGAGACTCGCTAATCCACTGTACAGATGGGCAGACTTGCCTATGGAGGGGTGTATATGAGCCATGGGTCACACAGCAAGTCAGTGGTAAAAACACAGCTAGGACCCAAACCACTCAACTAGCCCTGGCTTCTGTCCACTACTGGACATACCCTGTAATGTATTTCAGATGCTCACCTCTCCCTTCCATTCCCCATGCTCTGTCTCCCTAGATTCTCACTAATCACAAAGATAATGTTGATAACAATAGTACATTTATTGCATGTTTACTATGTGCGAGGCACTTAGCTAGTGCTTTATATGCATTGTCTTACTGATTTCTCATTTAAACAAACAAACAAACAAGCAAAAAAACCTAGGTACCCAAAGAGCTAGAGAATGTTGAAGAAGCTGAGGGATGCCTAGGCTGAATATGGTGATCTCACAAGCTGTTTTTTTTTTTTTTTTTTTGCTTGGCAGATGTTTCGAGCCAATCTGAAGGAAATTTATAAGCAAAGTAGCTTGTATATTCTCATCAGCACTCAGGAATCCTCTGCAGGCATACTGGGAATGTAAGCTGAAGGGGATGAGGTGGGAGGGGGAGTTTTGTCCATGGTACTACCCCTTCCCTGTCCTCTCTCCCCACATCCTCTTACACAGTCAGGAAAAACGGGGCCTAAAAAGCCCCTGGTCCAGCTCCTGCACCTGGTTGGAGCTCTGCACACAGTAGTGGTGCCCGATTGTGACTGCTTGAAGGGTATAGAGGCCTGGGGTTGGGCATTCCTGCTGTCAGGTTTTCTGTCTCTCCAGAGGCTTCCCAGGAAAGGAGGCCTGTCATTGCTTGTCTCTTCCTGCTGGTGCCTGGCCTGGCCTTGTAGAGTGGTTTTAAAGGGAAGGCTCCCTGGTGCAGGTAGATCATGATGCTCGAAGGGCAGGAAGAGTCATCAGTGGGGCTGTGCCTAGAGTTCTTGAAGGGTTGAGGGACCTGGGTGGCCATGGTCTGAATTCCATGTGTTCATTTTCTGCCCATCTCCTCTTGCCTCCCTTGCAGCTGTCATCTAGGAGGTGCTACGCAAGTTAGGGCTGCACCCTGGGTATGATTGAGCTCTCTGGCAAGGTCCCAGGATTGCATCAGCCTGGTGGTCTGCTGGACTGGGTGGGGGGTTCCGGATTGGGTAGAGGGCCTAGAGTTCTGACCTGGATGGATGGGGAAATGGTCCTGAACTCTGCTCTCGCTCTCCTCCATGTCCTCTAGCTCTTCTAAGTTGAGATCTAAGGCCTTCAGGGCATCCCTAACAAAGAACCATCTGTCCTCACATACTTGCTTCTAGTGACCATGAACTCACTACCTTCCTAGCTTCTTTTGAGAGTGCTCGTGCTAGAGAGGTCTCTTTTATGTTGGGAAATGCCTCTGCCTTCATATTGGCAGTTATGATTTCTGTTCATACGTTATTTTTCCCATTGTCAGGGTGAGGCACTCGCTCTTTGGGGAAGTGAGGACGCTCATCACAGATGAGTTTGTGAAGCAGAAGTAAGTAGTGTCTTGGGTCTTTGTCTGGCCTTGAAGTATTCTCAGTGTGCTGGTCTGGTTCAGAAAGTGCTTAATCAGTCCCATTCTTACACTAGCCTTAGAGGGCTGGGCATCCTCTGTCCTAGAACTGAGGCCTACCCACAGTTCCCATGGGTGAACCTTTCCAGGGCATAACCAGACCAAACACAAGGTCTTTTCCGTGGGATGTGCTCAGAGCCAGGGACCTGCAGAATTGGTTCTCTGTTTAAAATATATCCAACAGTAATTTGGGTTTACTCCTCATATGTGTCAGGGTATTTTGGCCTTCCTGTGACTTCATAACCTGCACATGTTTCTCCTGCAGCACCAAGTGACTACTTTGCATAGGGCCAATGGGAAATGGCTCAGTATTGGAGGCCAAGACCATGAACTGTATTTGGGAGTGAGTCTGGGGCTGGAGGATCTTGGAAATCCTTTTCCAGGATCTTAGTTTAGTACTTGTTTGGGCAAGTTGCCACCTGGTACCCAGTGGCTAGACAACAGGTTTGCTTGGCTAGAAGCAAGTTTCATTTCCTCTCTCCATGGTACTTGGAGTATAAGAGTCCCCAACAGCAGACCACCTGAGTATGAGTTCTTCTGGGGCTTGTGCTCCTACCATGAGACTAACAAGATGAAAGTCCTCGAGTTTGCATGTGCAAGGTAATAGGAGAGATACCCTGACTTGGCATATCAATGGAATGGGATATCGCTGGCTGGGAAAGGCTACATGTAGGAATGGGCAGGTAGAGAGCAGCCTGCAATTCATATATGAAGATTATAGAGCCTCATTTATGTCCTAGAGTGCTGCTAGATGTATAGTTTGTCTCATTTATTCCTCATACCTACTCTCTTATCGTTTCCCATATTACAGATGAAGACACTTAGCCTCAGTGAGCTTAAGTAACTTGTCCACAGTCGCACAGCACCTAAGTTAAGAGCTGGAATTAGATCTCAGCACTAACACATGGTAGAGCCCCATAGTAGGTGCTTAATCTATAATTACAAGGTCTATTTCCTTATAGTGATTATCATTCCTATCTCAGGTGCAGAAGAAAGACCCCAAGGACTGGGCTGCTCAGTATCATGAGGCTGTGGAGATGGAAGTTCAGGCTGCAGCTATGGCTGATGCTGAGGCTGAGGCCAGGGCTGAGGCAAGAGCCCAAATGGGGATTGGAGAGGAAGCTGTGGCTGGGCCCTGGAATTGGGATGAAATGGTATTATTGACTGCTTAACAAGGGAAGAGTTAGGCAATGAAGCTCAGGCCTGGAGCAGATTCTCATTTGCAATTGAAGCCAGAGCCCAAGAAAATGCAGATGCCAGCACCAATGTTGACTTTAGTGGAGGAGGGTGGTACACCCAGCCACAGTGGTGGCTTTGGTGGTGGAGCTGGCATTACCTTTGGTGGTGCACACAGCATCAGCGCCAGTTTCAGTAGCACTGCCAGCATTAGCTTTGGTGGCATACCCAGCACTAGTGCTAGTTTTAGTGATGGAGCCAGCGTTAGCTTTGGTGGTGTACCCAGTACCAGTACCAGCTTCAGTGGTGGAGCCAACTCTAGTTTCAGTGGCCCACTCAACACCAGTGCCAGTTTAAGTGGTGAAGCCAGCTCTGGCTTTGGAGGCACACTCAGCACATCTGCTGGCTTCAGTGGTGTGCTTAGCACCAGCACCAGCTTCGGCAGTGCACCCAGCCCTAGTGCGGTCTTCAGTGGTATATTCAGCACCAACACTGGCTTTGGCAGAACACTCAGCACCAGTGTGTGCTCTGGTGGCTCTCCCAGCTCTGGTGCCAGCTTTGGTGGAACATTCAGTACCAGTATCTGCTTCAGTGGCTCTCCCAGCACCAGCACTGGTTTTGATGGTATACTCAGCACCAGTGTCTCCTTCAGTGGTTCTTCCAGCACCCATGCTGACTTTGGTGGCACACTAAGCACCAGTATCTGCTTCAGTGACTCTCCCAGCACTAGTGCCAGCTTTGGTGGGGCACTCAGCACCAATGTTGGCTTTGGCGGTACACCCAACACCAGTGCTGGCTTGACACCAGTGCTGGCTTTAGTAGTGTTGGCTTCAGCAGTGCACCCAGCACCAGTGCTGGCTTTGGTGGTGCATTCAGCACCAGTGCTGGCTTCAGTGGAGCACTTAGCACCGCTGCTGACTTCGGTACTCCCAAAAACAACTTTGGCTTTGGTGGCGCTCCCAGTACCAGCCTCTGCTTTAGCAGTGCATGTAGCACCAACCTATGCTTTGGTAGCCCTTCTCTCACCAGTGCCTGCTTCAGTGGTGCTACCAGTGCTAGCCTTCGTGATGGACCCAGCACCAGTGCTGGTTTCAGCTTTGGCAACAGGTTAAACACCAGCGCTGGCTTTAGTGGTGGTGGACTGAGCACCAGCGCTGGCTTTGGTGGCCGACTAGGCATCAGCGCTAGCTTTGGTGGTGAACTGGCCACCAGTGATGACTTTAGTGGTGGACTAGGCACTAATTCTGGTTTTGGCAGCACACTTGGCACCAGTACTGGCTTTAGTGGTGGTCTCAGCACCAGCGATGGCTTTGGTTGTGGTTTCAACACCAGTACTGGATTTACTGGTGAACCCAGCACCAGCTTCGGTGCCAATTTTATTGTTGGCTTTGGCAGTGGACCAAACACTGGTGCTGTCTTTGGTGGTGGACCAAGCATTGGTACTGGCTTCAGCAGTGGACCAAGAAGCAGCGCTGGCTTTGATGGTGGAGCCACCAGCCTTGGTGCCTGTGGCTTCTCCTATGGCTAGTGAGGTTTCAGGTAATTACAACCAGGGCCCATAGGGGATAGGTAAAAGAGGTCAGGATTATAAGACACCCATAGGTGGGAGGGAGATGGAGGCAATGAAGGAAGTATGAGAAAACAGTATATTTGGTGCCAAAATGTGTTCCTGGTTGGTGTTTTGTTTTCAGGTTTATTTCCCATGTTTACAGGTACTGCTAATGAATTGCAGCGGTCTTTCCCATGGAGCCAGGATACATCCTTGGAATCTTTCCCTGCACAGCAGTCTAAGCAGCTACTATTAATCAGCTGAAGATGACATGCTTTATAAAATCTGTTTGCTTTCCTGCTTTACTGTTTACTCCCTGTGTGCTGTAATTTTTTTGGTATCAGAGTTGTTACATTAAATTTGCAAAATTAATTGAAAAGTTTTTTTACTGTCTTTTAATGTGCTTAGGTTGTTGTGACTGACATTTTAGGTTTATAGAAAAGCTCAAGCTCAGCATAACTCTTTGGGGGGTAGGTGGGGCTCCAGCTTTAGACTAAGAGGTAGTATGACTCTCATGGGATAAGGAAAGCAGGTATGCTTTCCTAGGGAAAGCATGGCAGACAAGGAGATAATGGCTTGAGCAAAATATGGAGGAGGAAAGCATGAAGCAGAAGGCAGAGGGAGGGGAACCCAACAGTAAGTATACTTTCATTTTGAGGAGTTTGGGTAAGAATGGAAGGATAGAGGGAGGTAACAAGAGGTAGACATGGGAACAAGAGAGAATTTTCTTGGGATATGAGAGAGAGAGACTTAAGCATCTTACATAGCCTGTGGAGTAAAAACCAATAGAGAGGGACAGGCACTAGATATGGAAGTCAGAGATTGACTGAAGCAGTCCATCCCTGAGAAAGATGGGATGGGATACGGTGCCAGAGAATAGAGGTTGACCCTGACTTTGAACAGGATTTAAGGCTATCTGTGGAAGCAAATAAGTATAGATTTGCTTCAAGCAGTGATCAGCAACCCTGTAGTAGATTCCAACAAAAAAAAGGATGTGGGTTATACATGGTTTGGGTCTTTCTGGGTGGTTGTGATAGAAGGACAGGGGAACAAAGGCAGCAAGTGTTCCCAGTACCTGGCCCATAATAGATTCATGGAGATGGCTAATGAGATGGACTGTTGGATCCAAGCTAGCTGGGGATGGAATAACAATGAGGAGAAAGAGGACTGATGCAGTACAAGTACAAATATTGTTCATTCAAGAAATAGCACTTGCCTGTCTTCTGTGTGGCAGGCATGTTACTAAGTGTCCTGAGGATGACACAGAGAGCCGTAAGGACTGAGAAACCAGTGGTTAGGCATTGAGATGCTTGTATTTAAGAAGTTAGGGTAAGGAGAAGTCTAAATGATGTGAAGATCCATGGAGTGGCTGGCTGAAGGGGAGGAGATGATCACTGGCATTGAGGGGATCAGGTGCCTGAGAAGCCAGGGTATTGGTTGGGTCATTCATATGGACAGTGAAATCACTCAGGAGGCAGCAAGAGTTGGAGTAGAAAGGAGCACTGTGGTTCAAATGATAGATTCTTCTCTAAATGAAGGATGAAGATGTCATGTACCCAATCACACTGCTCATCAAGGAACAAGACCCACAGGCACTCACAGGGACCTATCTCCGTCCCCATCTTTGGAGGTGCTGCCCCAGAACCCTTCTCTCCAGGAAGCCCTCACCCATTCCCCACCGCCACAGCACCAGAGCCCCTTCACAGGGTCATAATCTTAAGGACAATGGGGGAAGCCTCACAATGACCTCTTAGCCCCTCCTGTAAGCAGTAAGAGAAGCCTTTATTGGTCAGAGAATAGGAATTTAGAAAGAAAAACTAACTAAGCTTCATCCAGAGTTATACAGCTCCTTGGCTGTGGCCAATAATCAAGACCTGTTTTGGAGCTTGCTGAGAATTTCTTCACTGGAAGCAGGGCTCTCCAGTGAGACCAAGGCCATAGTCTTCTCAGGATAGGAGAGGAGCAGGGATAGAAGCTCCGCCAGGTGGGAAGACAGTAAGGAGAGGCAGTTTGGCCTCCTGGGAAAGGCTCAATAGTGGGCAGGAACAGTGTCCAGGGCTTCCTCAGGTTCTCGGGTGATGTCCACATTCTGAGAAAAGATAGCCCAGGATTAATAGGAAGGAGACAGAGGTGTATGGCCCCAACCCCTCCCCTGCCTCCTGTCCTCATTGCTAGGTTCCCTTCCTTCATCAAGGCCTGGATTCTGACCCTCTCTTGAGGCAGGCCTGGTGGGGGGCATCTCATCCTGAGGCCTTTTTGGCAGGACTTCTCTAGGCCTGCATCTCTATGGTGCCTCAGGTTTGGGTTACAATTCCTGTATTTCTGCTGATTACTCTATCTGTTGGTGCAAAACACCCAGGATCTGTGGAGTTTGGGGAGCTTTACTGTGGAGGAGGGGCTTTTACTGTGTGCTGTGTCCACAGCCAGCCTCGGCCATGGAGTCCCCCACCTACCTCAGGCTTCTCCCGATGTGTGTTCACTGCTTCCACATTCAGGTAGATGGACTCCACTTTGCAGCCTCAGAAAAGAACAACCCCCATCCATAAGTCTCAAAGGTAAATACAGGTTTTCCCTGAGGTGCCATCCCTACCCCCCCACCCACCCACAGCTCCATGCTATGCAGATTGTGACTGCCTTGTAGGGGAGGAATTTAGACTAGCTGTGGCGTGTGTGGGAAAGACCTAACAGGCAACAAAATGAGGCTGTCCTCCCAGCTCTGCTCTTAACAGTCTCTGAGTTCCCTGGGCCTCAGTTGCTCATTTGTAAATGCGGATGGCGATGATACAGATGATCTCTGGGGCCTCTCCCAACGCTTGTGGTATGTGAGACAGCAATCTTTATAATATTGATGGAGCTCTGGATCCTCCAAGCTATGTTAGGTGCTGGAGTGGTAGAAGAGACCTGAGGCCACTGCCTTCGGATGATCAGTCCCAGGTAAAATTTATTAACGGGACAATGTGGTTAAGGCAACACCAGAGGTGTGGACAAGGGCGTTCTAGCCTGAAGAGGGAGGAGGGAGGCATCAATGAGACCTGGGGCTGCCAGAGGAGGCCCAATGCTGTTGAAGCCCCTTAGCTCCATCCTGGTGGATTACAACCCTACTTCAGGCTTCAGTATGCCATTCCGCTCTGTTCACACCCCAGAACAGATATGATTTGTTCCCTTCCCTGCTCACGAACCTTTCATGGCTAACTAATGCTCCAGAAGAGAATCTAACTGCCCAGGCTGGTCTTTGAGGCTGTTCTTCAATCTGGTTGCAACCCACACTTCTTCTTCTGGTCCCCATTGGGCCTCCCACTAGTTTTCCATGTCCTTCACCTGTACCACTCCCCACCAAACCTAACCTATTAAAATCAAATCCTGCTGCATGTGAGCCCTTCTGCAGCTCAGTGCTCTGATAGAGACAGAGAAAGCTGGGGCCAGACCCCGCATTTAGAGGCCATTCCAGGCCTTCCCTGTTCTCATTCTAGTTCCACAAGTCCCACCTCCACCAGAACATCCAACTACGCACTAAAGGAACCTCCCCCAGGACTCTGGTGGGCACATGGAAGGCACTGGGGGCATGCTTATGGCCTCTATGTGCCTTTCCTTGGATGAGGCGGGGCAGTCACCATAAGCCACAGGTGTGAGTTTGAGCACTGTGTGCAGAGGGCACTTGAGATAGGGCAGCTCATCTGGAAAGGAGGAGAGAACAGCTGTCAGAGAAGGACAGCACTGGAGGAGGGCACCACCTCCCAGGCTCCAGGCTTGCACCACCCTGCCCGTTCCCCAAGGACTGCCTCACTGGGCCATGGGCTCATGCTCCCATACTCTGTAGGGGGCAGTGCTGAGATCAGGTTGGGCAGGGAGGGAGAGAGCAGAGAGGTAGCCTCAGGAGCAGGGATGGAGGAAGACCCTGGGAAATGCAGACAGACTGCAGGTCCCACAGGAGGGTCAGGCCGGCCACCTCAGTGACGGGTCTACCTCCTAACTAGCAGGGCAAATAGGAGACAAAGGCAGGCCTCCCTCCTGCCCGCAGCCTTGGGCCTTCCACAGGTGCCCCCACCTCAAAGGCTCAAATTCATCTTAGCAGGTGTTTCCTGAGACCCTACTATGTGCAAGAGCCTGAGGCGGAGTTTGCTTGGCACTTGAAAGCTCCCACAGCTTTCTCCCCAGCCCAGGCTGCTCTTTCTGACTCCTCATGGGCAGCCCTGAGAGGAGGGGAGGATTAGGCCCATTTAATGGATGAGGAAACTGAGGCCCCAAGTGGGAAGACTCTTGGCCTGAAGTCACACAGCCAGGAAGTGGCAGAGGGACGACTCGAACCCAGGACTCTCTGAGGTGAAGATGTGTGCTCTGCACACTGCAGTCTGCTGTCACTGCCCTCGAGGGGCTCATGCGGTTGTGTGGGTGACACACCCACCTACTCACCACTCTTCATTGACACCCACCCATCCACACACCCACACTGCACATACCACTCCCCATCTGCCTTCATTCAGCAGGAAATCCACTCCTCCTGGCTTCCCTGTCCTGAGGGTCCTTCTAGGCCTGCCACCACCCTCCCAGCCTCCCAAGACATCAGGTTAGGCATATCTCAGGGCAGCCACTCTCCTCCTCCCCCTTGTCTTCATCACCATCACCTTCATGCCCTGAGCACTTTATCCTCAGGGATACTCTTCGAGGGTTCACCATTCCCCATTGTACAGATGAGGAAATAGAATCAGAGGAGGGAAGTGACATTCCTGAGGTCTCAGACCCAGCTCTGCCACTGCCTCAATAAGTGGCCTTGGCCCAGTATCTTCTCTCTCTGGCCCTCAGTGTCCCCATCTCTCACAGGACTAGATGTAGCTCCAAGGTCCTGTGGGGCTGCAGTCTAAGTCACATCATCTTTCTGAGCCTCAGTTTCCTCACCTGAGGAAGGGGTGTGAGAACATCTGCCCTGCCCAGCTCCCCAGGAAATTGTGAGAAGCCCTGTGCATGAAAGCAGGAGGGAAGTG